AATCGTGAATTGACTTAAGTTATTAAAGATACTAGTTGCTGGCAACGTATAGGGATTATTTCGGCAGTTTTTCTAGGCATATCTATATCTGTATGTGTTTCGATCTTGGCACATAGGTTAAGTGTGCATCAATCATACATATGTACATACATATAGGCTCTATAAAATATACTCATATGTGTCACACCGTCTTCAAAAGGGGCACAACTCAAAATTACTGGTTTGTCAGAAAATGCGAAAAACAATTTCTTAGCATATGGTAATCATATGGGCAAGGGAGACTTTACCTTAGGTTTTTTTTTGGCAATTTAAAACAAAAATTTGCTCCAACTTTTGTTGAAATTTAAATAAAAGCTCTGTGTACATTTCTAGCGCATAATTTAAAAAAAAAATACCAAATTTTGAGTTGCGCCTCGTTTGGAGACAGTGTGCTATATGTTTATATATATATATATATATGCGCCTGTGTAGGTATCACGCGATGTTTCCTAGCGCTTTTTAAGGGCCTAAAAGAAGGAGACTGTCGATGGCATGGTCAAATATTTTATCTTGCCAGGCTTATTTTCAGTCGGGCACATCTGGCATCATTAATAAAACTTAAGAGAGGCGTTGGCGTAGCATTGACGCCTGCAAGATAATTATGTGTTTCCTGAAAAGGCCTGATACGGCGGTAGGACAATTCCTTCTCAGATAGAAAAGGAGTAATGTACGAACCTTGATAGGTCTGAAAGATGAAGATGAGTATAGTACAGAACATTTTCTCTGCCGCTGTCCAGCCTTAATTTTAATTTTACTTTCATTATATATGAATTTTTAAATATATACTACAGATGTACATAATCCATTCCATTTTAAGTCGGACGGATTTCGTAAAAAAAAATTATTTCATGTCTCCGATTCGCTTCAAATTTTTGTTGTGGGTTCTATACATGAAATAAGCCAACACGTATTCGATGAAATTTTTTCTCCCTTTTTTCTTCAGAGATATGATCTGTCATAGTTTGGATTTTTGCGTAATTCTGACTAATCATGAACTTCTTCAAATTGTTATATCTCGGGTTATGCTCATCGTAGAGGCATTTCTTTACATACATAAATTTCTATACAAAAGATGCTCATGATTGTCCTAAAGTTATGTTAGCTGTTAACAGTTGAACTTTTTGAAGTTGATTTGCGTTGGGCGTTTTTCAAGAACTATTTTTAAAATATTTTTTTTTTTATGACCAGATGGTTTAATTGTGGAGAGTCGACAATTTCTTGTAACTTTCTCTCGAAAACTCTTGATCAGATATATTTTTAAAGGTGTTAAAAATCGGGTTTTCAGAAAATATTAAATTTTATTACGGATTCCGATAGAATACCTATTTAGAAATAGTATTAGTTCAGCAAGATTTTTCTTTAGGACAACAAGCCTCTAGAAATGGGCGTGGGAAATTGTAGGACTAAAGTTAGCAAGCATTCGTTAACAACATTTGTTCCGTAATATTCATATTATGCTGAATAAAAGCTAAATTTTTGAACTTTGATTTTAAAATTTGCCACTCCCATTTCTAGAAGATTTTTTTACTGAAAAACTGTAACTTGTAAACTATTTTAAAAGCGGTAAAATTTCATATGTGCTATAGTACGATCTTCTTCAATTACTTGAGATATACATAAGTGGCTTTAAAAATTTTAATAAATTTTTCAATTTACAATAATTTCCCACAAGTTGCCCCAATTCGGCTGAGCGGCGCCCGTGTTGCTTTATAATCTGAGCACCTCTCCCTTGGAGGAGTCTTAACTGCGTTTAATTAAGCTACTGCAAACAGATGATATCCTATTTTAATAGCTCCAACAAAAATTAAACCTTCCCAAAATAGTTTGCTGGTTTGGAAAATATATGTTTAGAATACTCCACGTGTTTTTGGTTTTCATCTATGTAAGCATAAATATATACAAATACAGTTGTGCCTATATATGTATGAAAGCACGTGTAAAGCCACGTACAGTGCTCGGACTACTGCAACTCGTCTCAGGAGTAAATCACTTCGAAAATCGGAATCCAAAGAAATTTTTTTAGTACATACATAGATTTGAAAATGTTTCATGGACAAGTAATTAGTAAAATTTCACTAGGGGTGCCTTTAAATGGGAAAAGCTTCAAGAAACCTCGCTTGAAACTTTAACTGATTGAAATTTGTATGAAATAAGAAATCAGGTATATATTTACAATTCATTCGCAAACAAAAATGCGAAATAGTGAAAGAATAATACATATGTGCGCATATTTAGGGAGTAATGCTTATTTTATTTAAACTAGAACATAAAAATCAGACCTTTTGTCAACAGATATCTTGCAAGCATTAGGCCCTGAATTTTTTCTACTTTAAAAGATTTTATGTCGGAAAACCTTCTACTGTAGCGCTGCAATGAGTGAAAATCAATTAGGTTATAATACACTCCGCCAAATTGCTACAATTTTCTAAGCAAAAGTAAAGGAATTACTGTTTTAACGAATCGTATCAAAAAAGTTTCTGGTAAGCTTTTGCTATCTCTATCTATTTTTGTACTCAAAATTTGTAGGAAAAGGGAACAAAATGTGAGTGGAAAACGGAGCAGACTTTATGGCAAGCGAAGCAGTGGAGTTGATCTCAAACTGTTTCAGAAACCGTAGTAAATCTATTCCGATCGATTTGAAGACCGAGCACTGGCCGCATAGCTCAGTGTTAATCTTTATCTGCCAACGTCGATAAACTTATTTTGAAAATTAATTGATTCTGTTCTACCATTGCGCGCAACCTTTTGTGCTTTATGTGGCACACAACCCACACACGTACTACGAAAAAAAACAGTTATTTATAATTAGCGTGTGGGCAAAATACAACGTACAAAGCAGCACTTGGGGCGTATTGACTATTCAAAAAACATACAAAAATATTTTTAGAAACAAATTCTTTTCCTCCTCTTTACTTTTCTTACGTTGTTGTGTCTTAATTGTATCCACCCATCTGTACAGTACATAACTACTGCCGAAAATGCTGCTAATGCACCAACTCCTCGATAATAATTGTTTAAACAAAATTTGTTTGCTTTGGTTTTTTTGTTTTTTTTTTTTTGTGAATACATACTCCTTGCATTTCTATCGATGGGATGTGCTGCTCATTAAGTCAAACAAACATCAAATTGTGATACATACCTAGTTGCACACTACGCTGAGTGCTCTGAATGTATGTGGTATGAAGGCAAATTTACGCCCTGCTAAGGTTTATGATTAAAGCTAATCTCTCTGGGTGTGTTTTTTTTTAAATTTCTTTGATTAATTTTCTGAATGACGTTGATGAGCATACATTTTTCTTCATTATAATTGCTACTTAGAGTGTTAAGGGAAATCGGTAGCGGCCTAGAAGTGAGGCGAAAAGGTAGAAATAGGAAAAATGGGCGCCTCATTAAACTTCAGTAAAATTTGAATGCATTAAATCAATAAAATTTAAAGTGCTCGGAGTTTCTTTTTACTCATTTGAGAGCTATTTGGTAGTTCTTTTTGAGGAGGATTATTTATTATATAGAAATGACGTACAACATCGGGTAACAGCCATCCCAGGGCCGTAGCCAGGAAGTTCATCAGGTAACAGCAAGCCTAGAAAGAAGCTTGTTGCTCTATTAGAAGATATTTGTCAGAATTTACAAGACAATAATGAATATGAAGATGATGCAAAAATTGATTTGAATTTCAACAAAAAAGGAATTAAATTATAAATATATTTAGTTATACATATTCTGGGGTAATTTCTACCAAAGTGGTTTCCGTACTGTCGTATTTTTCCACTCAAATGTATAAGCTGACCAATGTTAAAGTCATTTAAATTTGAATTTTCGGTAACCTACCAGGTGATCTTCTAAAGGGAGTGTAGTAGCTAAAATTTGAGTTAAAAAAACAGTCCAACGTGATTGCTTTTCTTTAATTTTTAGAAGCACTTTAATGTGTACTATTGTTTTTTTTCGGATTTCTGGCGGCCATATTGGTGTCGCCATCTAGAAATTTTTTAATGCATCACGTTGTATGAATACGAATAATATGAGCCCTCAAACATTTTTCTCGAGCTCTTCAATTTTTGACCTCGAAAAAAATTTGTTTTTAAGTTTTTATTTATTAAAAGGGGATGAGAGAGAGAGAGAGATTTCACCCCTTATGGGGGTTGGGAATTTTTCGTACTTGCCGTCATGTATTATTATTGATTCGAACTACAATAAAAAATGCCGAAACGAATTTCAATACATATCACTTTTTGTTTTCAAAGTTTTTCTGAATTTTTTATTAAAATACACCTCTTTAAGGGTGCGTTTTGATATATGAAAAAAAAATTGATTTTGGCCCAGAAAATCTCTTCCAAAATCACTAAAGAGAATTAAAAAAAAATATTAAAATCAGTCAAAAATTGCCTTCTTTAGGATTTTTGAACAAAATTTATCGCAAAATCGCCATTGGGTGGAATCACAAATTTTTCAATTATTCGCAAACAAGAACCAATCTGAAAAATAAGATGTCTATTTGGAATCAACGTCCTAGAATATATTACCCTAGAAATATAAAGGCCCAAATCTAAAATATCGTCAAAATCGGTATGTATTTTAATGAAATTCTGTGTAGCCTTCTTCTTTACTCGGAAATGCTTTAGTTCAGAAGAGAGAAAAAATTCAAATAAGCTACTCTCCTGCTGCTACCTGTTCCATATACTTGAATATAAAGGACTATGTAAGCCCAATTATTTCAGACATGCGCTGGCTATATAAAATTGTGTATCAAGTTAATGTGGTGTCCTTTACTATATTCCTATATTTTTATGTTATAAGCCATCATCAAACATTAAGAAACACATAAAACTCTACGTACGTACATACTTTCACATTATTTTCTCATCTGCATGTACTAAAAATATATGTACACTTAAGTATATGTATGTAGGTAGATGCATACCTTCACAATATATATTTAATTTTTTTCTCTCCTCTCTTTACAGGTTGCTACACAAGAACTTTCGCCACCAAATGAGTTTGCTCCCCACGTAACGGCGACATGCAAATCCGGCACAATGAATATCAAAGTGAAATTCAACGGTCCCTACACGGGTGCAGTGCATGCGCGCGATCATCGAAATGCTGCCTGCATGGCCATGGGTGACGGCTCCGAAGCGGTCGGCTTCAGCATAAATCTGTTGGCGAAGCAGGGTGCGCCCGATTATTGTGGCGTGCTGGTCAGCAACGTGAGTGGTGCCAATGTAAGCTAACCAAATGTTCCAATACTAATTTCTACTAAAGCTTTTCTTGTTTGTCTTTGAGAACTAATTTATTTATTATTTTTTTTTGTGTTTTATGAATGTATATTTTTGCGACTAGCCTTCGCATACATGATACTGTTTTGTTAATGTACATAGGCATGTATGTAGTTACATACATATGTACGTGTTTGTATCATTAGATTGCATTTTGTGAATATATATATTGTTTTTTTTTGCAAATGCGCGACACGTTTTCACATCATTCGAATTGGAGGTGGTGATATTTTCGATTTGCTGTGATTGTAATTCAATTGCTGATTTGATGATGATAACGATGGCATGAATGATGATGATAATGATGATGCTGATAGTACTCAACGCAAAGTTCATTAGTGGTTTTACCTGCGAATGCTTATAATCGGAATTTATTGTACATTATGTCTGCTATACATTCATTGACAGCCCATTCGGCGTAATAACATTTGAAAAGGAAAAGGGGAATGTGATTGCAATACAAAATTCTTTAGAGATTACGCTCATTTCAGCAAATGTATTGCGGTATGAATAATTCATTAGCGCTGCTTGGTGATTAAATGAAACAGAAACTTTCCATTTTAAGAGTCGATGTATCAAATTGAAGTACAAAACTTTGATACATATTTTTATACCCTTCATGAACATGAAATGGTATGACAAATTTGAAGAAGAGATAGACACATAAAATGGCATAGCGAAATAACTAAAACGTCGAGCTGAGTCGATTTAGCCATATCCGTCTCAGTTTTCTAGTTATCCAACTGAAATTTAGTTAACGAGTGCCTTTTTATAATGTAGTATAGTAATCATTTGTCAAAACCGGAAACATCGGACTACTAGAACATATAGCTTCCATACAACAGATTTTTCAGATATGAAAGCTTCATTTATGTAGCTAGGAACATTAAGTTTCACTTATTAATTATAGAAAGTTTAGAAAGAAAACGAGTAAGATCGGGTCCCTATATCTGCCATTCAACTAATAGTTCAGACATAACTGTTTCAACCATGAAGTTAGCGTATGCACATTTTTCCCCCTATTTGCTTATAATAAATAAGACGCGCACGGTGTAAATCAATTAAAAATAATCCGTGGGCTCCCAAACAACTGTTGAAAAATACAACAAATTTTCTAATGCTCATGAAAGGTATGAAACCTCCGGAATAGAGCCGGGCAGTTATACATCCCGAGAGCTTCTGGTGAAATCTTTCCAGGGAACTCCTAGTCTGGTGCATGTAATTCGTAAGGACTTTTTTTAATTTGTAAGCAATACATATATAGGTAACTTTTTCCCCTAAAACTAAAGTTCCTCCTAAGTATTTGACGAGGCTTGATGATCTTTTTATGTAAGCGTTAGCGTTAAATAGTTAATCGTATTAGGTGGTGTTGGAAGCAGTCTTTAAAAATATATGTACTTGAGCACGAGATTGTACATTTTTCGATAAAAACGTGCTTTGGTCGAAAATGGTGGCACACTTAGACAATTCATTATCTTACGTATTGCGTAAAAAAAATTCCATCGCCAAATTGTATTTAAATGGAAACTTAAAAAAGTCTTACCTAAAAAATTAAAAACAACAACTACCCTGCAGGAAAATTTAGAGACAGTCTGACAAAGCGCTAGTTCCGAATTACATATCTCAGAAGAATCCGTGAACTAGTGCAAAAGGAATGCAAAGCGGGACAGTTGAAACTTCCGGTGTAAATGTGCAAATACGCACAACTCGTGCAATACGAAAGTAGCTCAGCGGGAAGACCTCCGACTCAACCATCGTTGGTTGCGAGTTCAAATCGCGGTGGAGGCAGTTGTGAGTTTTCAAATTTAATGATTTAAATTGTTGCGTACAGCTTACAATATTTTTTTTTTTTTAGTTTTTTAGTTCTACGATAGTTCTAGGCTAGTCATATTTTCTGCAGGGTAGTGCTCATATACCCGTAGTTGTGAATGTAACGCATACGCCCCGTAGCAGCATACATAGTCATCTACCACGTCTTTTCGCACGCCTTACTCATATAACCATGGGCGTAGCCAGGTAGGGGCAGGGGGTGCTCGAGCCCCCACCCCTCCCTAACTTTCAAATGTTCCTTATATATATATATAAAATAGTACCCTGAAATCCCAGCTTAATAGGATCGGATAGGATGAGTTGCTTATAAAAACTTTGTTAATTAAAAACTTCCGAAAAAAACCTTCAAAGTGAGATATTAAATTCAAATTGCGCCAATGCTACCTAGTTTTTTGTTTAATATTAATATTAGACAATTTGTGTAGACACATTTTGATTTGCTAATAAGAGGACCTACAGCTTCCTATTGAAATACTTTTTATCCACAGAAAGTCAATTGTATATAAACAATGTTTGTGAGATCCCGGTTGACTGAACTAGTAAACGTCATTGCTCATGAATTTTCACGTCACGCTGTAGTCCAAGGTACAGTTGATAAATTTTCTCCTTAAATCAGTTTCCGGTTTAAGGAAACCGAGAAGAGATTCTGTGCGTTTGAATATTTAAGGATGCCCTTATTTGCCTAGAAAATTTACATTTGGGTTCTTAACGCCACCGTTCCTCTACAACAGCGGAAAAAAGTAGAGAGGCAGTAGCTCATTTCCTTAGGTAGGTCAGCTATTTCAGTCATAATTTCCCTGGCACCGATGTAGGATTTTGACCATCTTTTACATGTAACCTTTTTAGCGTGAGCATCAGTCCGGAGGAGGGGCTAATTAAGTTGAAAAGAAACTAAAATATAAGACCAATTATAAAAAATTGAAGATATGTATAAAAAAATCTTTACGGCTTAGATTAAGGCGTTATTTTATTTGCTTTGAGAATAAGAGCTTTGAGCATGAAGATGTAGTACTTTGAATATTAGCTCCACTTTTCAGGTTGTTAATTATATCTTTGAGTGACATATTCACAAAATTAATAAGGCTTACAGTAATAAGCTTAATTAAACGTAAAAAATTTCGTGTTCGTACATTTAGTACAAGAGGTTCGCAGCTTAAGTCTTTTGATTGCCAAATATCAAATAAAAAAAACTCATTTAGCATACAAACGCAACTAAGCGCAAAAGGTTTGTTGACGTATGTAATTTTGAAATCAAATGAGAAAATAAAATTGCGCAAGTTGATTTTTTGCCGCGAAAATTTTAATGCCAACTTATATGTATGTATATGTGCTCAGATACATAGAGTGAAAAAAATAACCAATTGTAAAACTAAAGCGCAAAAACGCTGCCGCAACAATTGTGATAAAGCGCCGCCAAAAATAGCCGATGCTATAAAAAAAAACGACAACCGGACCAGTATCTCTAAGCTCAAAAGAATTTCAATAACAATATCCAAATATGCTACATTGCTCGGCTAAACTTACTTAGGTTGTATATACAAAGCCGATTAGCATGTGACCATAAAGACAACAGAGCAGACAAACTAAATATAAAAGATGAAGGAGAATAGCAACAATTTCGAAATTTACAAATATTCACAATTGGGTGTTGAATTGAAAATTGCTTTGTGTGCAACAACGCGGATTCGACACAAAATAGCCAGAAGAGCAGTGTGCCGCCACAATAAGGCCGATCAACCGATCAGCCAAAACACGTACGAGCACTAAATACTCGCATACATAGATATGTATATGTGATAAATACATATGAATTTTTGAAGGCGCACAATGGTCTGAATGGAGTATGTAGCGGGACGAAATACTAAAAATGAAAGTTTTCGGCTCGGTACTAAGTAGGGCCGAACATAATTTCTTAGGAATAATTAGTAAGAAGGCCTCTCCATTCTAGGATTTACATGAATGCTCAATTTTTGCATTTTGCAGTCGTAAATGCTACGGTCCTGAACATACTAGAAATTCTTTAAAATTTCACAGTTCGCTAGGTTTTTTTATCAATTTTTTTTTTCTAAATGGTAAGTGAGAATTGTGACATTCAATCGTTTCATTTTAAAAATTGTTAATTCCTTATTTATAGTAGTGAAAAACATACATTTCTGTAAGTAGATATTTATAAGTAAAATGTAATTATATTAGGGGTATTCTCTGTGTAGTTTATATGTTAAATAATAATAATATGTGAATAGATATTTGGAAAAATTGGGTAGAATATTTTTTTGCAATTCAGAGATATTCTCTAAGTGTTGCAAAACTCTTGCACGGTGCACGGATTGCACGGTTTGCAAAGCTCCCCCATACGAATATAGCCAGCTTTTGCCAACTTTGTTTAATATTTGAATTTAAGGGGAATCTACTTTTCACTATGTTCTATTCAAATCCACTAACTTTTTAAATGAAAAAGCCATCATATGGGAGCTTTCATATTTTAAAAACCTACTTTCAGATTCCTAATCTGCTACCATAAAACTCCTAAATACTACCCAACACCGCCGAGTAGCAAATTTGTAGCGAATGCAATAAATTTTAAAAAATTATTCCGCCATATTGAAACAGCCATTTTGAATTTTTTGAAACCTTACTGATATGTAATCAATGCCATATAAACTAGTAGATATAAAATGGTGTATAAATCCAACAACACGAATGTGTTAAATAAATTTTGTCCCACTGGATTCTCTATTCAGGCCACTGCGCGGCGGCGAGACCAGATCCAGATACGTACTCACTCATATCGTACATGTTTGTAAATATATACACATGTCTGTAGATTGTTGCATATTTGCCGCACACTTAACCCGGCCGAGTCAATCACCGGCGAATGAACGAACGAACGACACAAAACAAGGCGCGTCGAATAGCCAGAAAAAAAGCAGAAAATTGTTTTTGCAGAAAAAAGGCAATTTAGAAAACCAGGTTGGTCAGCAGCTAGCCGCCAACTATGCTAGCGAGCATTTTAGTGCGCGCAGCTGGCTGCCAACTAGTAAATACATACGTATGTACATACTTACATACATATGTACATACTTACATACATATGTCATACTTACATACATACGTAT